CCGCTCTCCCGCTCGACCACAAAGATCTCCCGTACGTCTCATGTGTGTGTGTGTCGTGTGATGTGTGTTGTGTGTGTGTGTTGTGTTGTGTTGTGTGGCGTGTGTGTGTTGTGTTGTGTGCTTGGGTTGACGGCGTGCTGGCGTTACAGGCGAGGCTCGCGGACGGGCCTGGGCCTGTACGTGTGCCACAAGCTGGTGCGCACGTCGCTCCGGGGCGACATGCGCATCGAGAGCCAGCCCGGCAACGGCACCCAGGTCTACTTCTCCGGCCGCTTCACCGCGCTCCCCGGCGAAGAAGAAGAAGAGGCCGCCTCCACCGGCGATGCCGCCGCCGACGCCGTCAAGCGGGTCGAGTTCAACCGCAGGCGGGAGTACGAGGACGAAGACGACGACCTACGCGGCCTCCGCATCCTGGCCGTCGACGACAGCGAGGTATTTATTTCCATTATTTTTATTATTAGTAGTAGTAGTATTATTATTTATTATTAGAATTAATTAGACTTCTATATATGACTAGAATTAATTATTTTATATTTATTTTATATTTATTTTTTGCAGGGGGTGCGTACGTTCATCGAGGAGGAGCTGAAGGCGCTGGGCTGCCACATCCTGTGCACCGGCGACGGCACCCACGCCATCCGCCAACTGCGCTTCGCCGCCGCCAACAAGACCCCCTACAACCTCCTCCTGCTCGACTACCACGTACGCCGTGTGTCGTGTCGTGTCGTGTCGTGTCGCGTGTGTCGTGCCATTCGCCCTGAGAACTGACCGAGCGCCCTGCGCAGTTGAGCGCGGGAGATGGGCTGTGGGTGGTGTCGACGGTGCGCGAGCAGAAGGACCTCGCGTCGCTTCGGATCGCGGTCATGGTCTCGCCCGCCGAGGCCTCGCGCTTCGCCCACGGCCGCACGCGCGGCGTCCACTACACCCTCCTCAAGCCCCTCCGCCTGAGCGACCTCCTCTCCGTCGTCCGCGCCGCCTACTACCAAGAGGTCCCCTACCCCCTTTGCCCAGCGAACGACACGACACGCACCGCACACGACACTCACCGCGACACTCACCGCGACACACGCACACGCGAGTGTAGAGCGTGGACGAGATGGACATGCGGCGAAAGATGGCGGCGACGCCGGCGGAGGCGTTCGGGTCAGACGAGCGGGCGCTGATCCAGGACATGGGGGTGGACCTCGGGCTCGAGGTGCTGGTGGTCGCCGAGGACCCCGAGACCGTGGCGCGCATCCGCGACCTGGCCAAGCGCAACGGCCACAAGGCCAGCACCCTCCAGGACGCCATCGCCCTCCTCTCCCAGCTCCCGCTCAAGCCCTACGACGCCCTCGTCATGGTACGACACGACACTCACCGGACACCGCACACCGCACGCACGGTGGCTCATGATGGCGTGTGTGTGTGTTGTGTTTGTGACAGGGCACG